AAATTATCTTTCCATAGTGGTATAAATGTTCTGTTTGGAATCACTCTCCAATTGTGCCGTGTTCTGAGATCTTGGTTACATTCCAAGATTATCCAAAACTCAGGATTCCATCAGGAAGGCAGAATTCCCAGAGTCCCCCCAGGGTGGTGCAGAGCTGGTGACTCCCCTGGTTTCCAGGGGATTCCTTTGTCCATGAGCCCATTTCTGCTCCAGCTGGAGCTGAGTTTTCCCTGAGTTTTCCCTGTGTTTCCCCCTGTGATTTCCCTGTGTTTTCCCTGAGTTTTCCCCAAGTTTTCCCTGTGTTTTCCAGGACTTTGCTGTGCCCATCAGTGGCAGGTGCCTGGCTCTGCTCAAGCACCAGGAGGGAAGGATTGTCACAGTAAGTCACCAACAGAAGCTGGGTTTGGCTCTCCTAAGATCTTCAGAGCAAACTCCTGCCTGGTGCAGGGGGCTTTGAAGGCTGAAACATCCCTAACAGCAATAAAGAAGTAACAGACCACTTTTATATTCATTTTTATATGGTTTGGTGCAAGAGGTTTTCAAGGTTCTCTTGCAGCCTGCTTAATAGAATGTCTTACAAACCATTTCAATATGAAACCTTTAAAAACCAGAGCAGGAGCAAAGGAGCAAGAGCAGTTTGGGTGTTCAGCAGCTGTTCCCCTTTGCAGCTCCTGTGTGGGAATTACAGTTGTACTCCTGGGACTGGGGGGGGACTCCAGGGAGAGCAGCCCCTCCAGGCAGGGCCAGATGTGGGCTCTGAGTCCCTCCCCTGAGCTCTCAGGAATTTTTCTGAGCTGTTTGGCTCCTCTCAGTGCCAGCAGTGCTGGTCTCTACTATTTTTCTACAGCTATTTTTATTTTTTAATGAATGAACACCCTGGGAGTTGTGCTGGTCCCAGCTCACATCTCTGCTGTGCTCAGTGCCCAGGAAACAACCAAAAAAAAGCCACATCCTGAAGATGTTCTTTGTTAGATTCTGGAATTGCTTTATTTTCTGTGAATTTCTTCTTCTAGCACTTTAATTACTTCAGTCTTACTCTTCAAGGAACAAAATATTTAGGCTGCCTGGACCAATAAATGTTTGGTTTTGCTTCTCTCTCCTTTTCCCCTCATTTAGAGAGCCATTGGAGTGCTGAGCCGGGTCCTGGCAGCGTCCCCCTCAGCAGTGGAGGAAGTGCTGAAAGGAGGAGTGGTGAAGAAAATGCTCAAATTCCTGAAAGTAAATCCAACTTTCTTTATTTCTGCCTGCATTGTCCCCTGAGCAAATCTAACTCCCCCTGTGTTTATCCTCCTTTCCCTGGAGGATGTGTCTGCACTGTTGTAACAGCGCTCCCAGGTTTCATTTTAAGCCTTTTTAAAATTTATTTTTAATTCCTGTTTTAATTTTTGCTGTACAGCTGTGTCCAGCAGGTGTGGATTATGCAGATCAAGTTAGTCTAGAAAAAAAAATCTATAGCACTGGGATCCCTGTCAAGGGGAGTTGAAAAGGATTGGGCTGCAGAGATCCAGGGAATGTTGTGTGTTTGTTACTGGCAGGAATTAAATGAGTTTTATGTGATTCTCAGCCCGTGTTCACCCTGAGATAAACATCCTGGGAGGGTTTTCAGCTGGGATTTGGGCTCAGGCCTGGGGAACTCCTGAGTTGCCAGCCTGTTGTGGGGCACAGTGGGGATGTGTTTGTTCACTCTGCTTTAACCCACCAGGCTGGGGGACAGCTCACATGCAGCTATGCCATAAAGACCCTCTCCATCTGCACCAAGAGCAGCAGGAGAGCTCAGGAAGAGCTGCTGAGGTGGGATAAAAGTAAGTGAAACTTGTGATTTCCAGGGCTTGGGGTAGTTGATGGTGTCCTCAGTGGGGACATGAAAAGCAGCTGGAGCTGGAGGCAGAGGAGTGGTGCCAGAGCAGTTTTAGGGTATTTCTGATCTGTTTGCTTGGATTGCTTTAAACCCAATCAATGCTAATGGAACAACAGCAGAGAATACTGAGATTTTACTGAAATGGCTGAACCTGTCAGGAAGCTGTCAGTGCCTGCAGTTCAACCTGCACCCCAAGGATTTCCTCTCACTCCAGCTGCAGACAGAGCTTTCATTGCCTCAGATCAGCAGCAACACTTCACCCTCATTCTCTCCACCAGAATTCTGGGGTTTAACCTGTGAGAAGTCACTAATTCTTATTTTGTCAGCTCTGTTTGCCAGGGGAGACCTCACAGGTGAGAAAGCCGTGGCTGTATTTATCCCACCAGTGCTCAGTGATCCCTGAGTGTTTCAGGATCTCTGGCCTGAGATGTTGCTGCTGCTTTCAGGTGTCAGAGCCAAAACTCTGCTGTCCTCAGCTCCCAGGTGAGCTGAGCTGCTTTGGTAGCTTTGGAGGTACACAAAGCTTTTTTTATGTTCCTTTTTCCAGCTGTTCTCTCCACAAGAGCATTTCTGGTTTAAAGGATTTCATGTGGCACGCTCAGCTCTTTGTGACAGACACATCTGGGCAGGTGGAGCTGAGGCAGCCTCCTGGATGCTGAAATTGCCATGAAATTCCCTTTCTGCCCCAGAAACAGCACCAAACTCACTGCCTGCAGCCAGCAGGGAAGAGCTGGAGCGGCTCTGGCTGTGTGTGTGACAGAGATTCCCCCTCCTGCCAGGGTTGCAGGTGCTGCTGAAGCTGCTGGAGTCGGGGGATGAGCTGACTGTGGGGAATGCAGCTTTCTGCCTCAGCCAGTGCCTGCTGCTCCCCGGGGCAGCATCGTCGCTGCTGGGCTCCGGCGTGGTGCAGCTGCTGCTCCGCCAGGCTGCAGGGGATGCTCCCGGAGCCCTGCAGCGCAACTCAGCCATTGCCCTGGGCAGGCTCTGCCTGGCTGAGCCAAGGTAGGAGCAAAAACTCCCTCTTTGTACTTCCCTCCTCTGCTGGCAGCTGATAACCCGTGGAGAAACAGCCGGGGTAACTCAAATCTGCAATTATTCGGTTAATTTCTGTAAATGGGCCGTGAATTCTATTTCCCTCCTCTTGTGATCCCATCCCCAAATCCTGCTTGGGGTGTCACTTCTGTCTCCACATCTTTGGAGGAGTTCACTGACCTGTGCTGGAAGAACAGAAGTGATGTTGGAAGTCTGTAGATCCCAAATGAGCACTAGAGAAAGTATCAGCCCTGAGATTTCTCTAAAACAGCAAAGATAGAAGGGAAACTCTTCATTTTCTTAGTTTTGTTCATCTGAAAAAATATTTATAATATTATATAATTTATATAAAAATATTATAGATAAATTATATAAAATTTATAAAATTTATATATTTTTATATATAAATATATATAGAAATTTATCTATTATAAATATTTATAAAAAAGAATATTATTTATATGCCTTTCTGAGGGCAATAATAATCTAAAAACTGTATTAAGAATATCTGTATTAACTCTGCTGTTATTATTGTTATTAATAATATTAGTATTAATATTATTATTAATAATATTATTGATATATTATTAATAATATTAATTAGTAATATTAATAATATTATTAGTATTATTATCTAAAGCCTTTGTTTTAAGAGGAATTTATTGACTATAGCATTAAACAGCCCTGGAAGTTTGGGTAGAGCAGTGAAAAGTTGAATTTTTAGTCACCACCTGTTCCCCCTGTTGTCTCTCCAGGCACATGCAGCAGCTGAGGCAGCTCAATGGCTTGGCCATCCTGAACTCCTCCATGAAATACGTGCAGAGCAGCTGAACTCTTCAGAAACCTTCCACAAGTGCCCTTCATCTCACTTGCTGTTGAGTTTTCTTTGCTTTAATAAAATTCACTCAAAGCACATCAGCTTTTCAGTGGCTTTTTTCAGTGGCTGTTCCTGGACTGTTCCTGACTGTTCCTGGGCTGTCTCTGACTGTCTCTGACTGTTCCTGGCTGTCCCCTGGCCGTCCCAGCTGTCCCAGCTGTCAGTAGGAGCCTTATCTTCCTTCTGCTCAGGTGTTCAGTGCCTCAGACAGGCAGAGCTGTGCCAGGACATTCTCTGCTGTCCCCTCAGCCTGTCTCAGGTCTGGCTCGGTGTCTGTGTGCCTGGCACTGAGAGATTCCTGCTGGGTGCTGCCTGCAGGGGATTATTAATTCATTATTAAACTGTAATTAATTACAGTTCTTTGGGAGCTTTATGGCTAAAAAAGATGTAGCTGTGATTGTGCCCAAGAAGCCTCTGGGCTCTCCCTGGGCTCTTAGGAAGGTTTGAGTTCTGTGCTTGTTTCACTGTGGTTTCCATTCCTCCCTGGGATCCAGGCTGATCCCTGTAGATGGTTTTATTGGCATAAACTGGCAAAAAAAATTAGAGTTATAGAATAGATCAGCTAAAAAGAGCCTACAGCATCACCCAGTGCAGCTGCCTGAGCACTCTGGGGCTGAGCAGGAGTCAAAGTGTGTTCAGGGCATTGTACAAAATCCCCTCTCCAGGGTCTGACCACCTTCTTGACTAAAAAACGCCTCCTCATACCCAGTTTGAACTCAGCACCTCCCCTTCCACGTCCTCCACATCTCCATGTGCTCCTGGGGAAGCTGCAGAGAGCCAGGAGCTCTCCCCTGAGCCTCCTTTTCTCCAAAGTGGGCACTCCCCGAGCCCTGAGCTGGCAGGAGGTGCTCCCAGCCCTGCCCCAGCTCTGTTCCCCTCCTCTGGCAGCATCCAAGCCCCTCCACATCCTCACCCAGCCCTCCAGGGAGTGCTTTAACTCTTCCCCCAGGGCTGCACAAGCACCCTCTCGTGTTCCCAGACACATTTCCCACCTTTTGGACGTAAAATCCACCTGACCACACTCTGTTCTTTTGTTAAAAAGCGATTGATTCCAATTGGTGCAGGGTTTTTTTTCCTGGACCAGGTTATTGGTTGGTGTCTGGCCTAAGCTCTTATAAAGTAACCCAACCCTTCAGAGCAAGCAGCAAATGCCCATTGCTGGGAGGCAGCAGAGGCTCCTCAGGGAGCTGCTTCCAGCTGGGATATTCTTTACTGGGATGGCTCAGGAGCTGCTCCACGAGATGCAGGAGAAGTTCCCCATTGTTGTCCTGCTGGCAGCCGGACTGTTGGATTTGTCTGGTGAGTGATGGGCTCTGTTCTGGTCTCAGAAATCGCTGCTTTTCTGCCCCTTTGCTCTTTTCTTGGTGTGCCATCAGCTCTGGGGTGAGGGAGAAGCTGCTCCCCATTTGTGCAGCCCAGGGTTTGGGGGAAATGCTTTCACCCAGGGGTGATGACCCCTCACCAGCACATCGCTGTGCTGCTCAGTCCCCAGAGAAAATATTCTCCCTTTAGGGCAAAACAAATGAAAAATCCCTTTTCCTCCAAGCAGAGCTGAGGATCAGGCTGGTGCTGCTGAAGGCTGGTTCAGAATCCCCTCTGCCAGGCACCACTGACACGCTGTGCTGCCTCTCCTTTAGGAACAGCTGTCCTGACAAATATTCCTGACAGCACAAAGTCAGGGCTGGGTTTGTGCTGCTGCTGCCCCAGCCGAGCTCCTGGGGCTGCTGTCACTCACAGCCTTGGCTTTCCACTTTGCTGGGTGCCTGTGAGCATCCCTGGGAGGGCTCATAAATTAACTGGGCTGGTGGAAGCAGTGTCCTCAGGCAGGCTGTTCTCATCAGGAAAGAGAAACTTGGGAAATGACAAAGAATATTCTACCCAATCAATAATTTTCTTCTTTTTGTGAAGCTGTTAAACCTCTGCTTTGCCTTTGTCAAAAACCACAATTTAAATGCATAATGCTCAAGCTTTTAGATTTGTGTCTTTCCTGGCAGGTGCCTAAGGAAAAATGCTTAAAGTTTTTTTGGGGAGGAAAATCCATTTTAGTCTGTGGTTTGGAAAGTGTAATTTGGAACATCAGCCTTCTGATGAGAAGACAGAAAAAGTAAAGTGTGTGGAGAAGAGAATAACCTTTCAAAGGCAGGGTCTGCCTTTATTAGTGATAAAGTGGCTGCTTTGGGTTTGAGAGGTTGCCGTGTTCTCTCTGCTCTGTGCCAAAACAAACCTGCCTGGACACCCTGGGGGGATCAGGAAACTCCTGGTGGCACTGGGATGCTGGTGGAGGGGGAGTGCTGAAGGAGAGCCAGGGGAGGGAGCTCCTTTAGGTTTATTTTAATCTTGCTCTGCCGTGGAAGAGCTGCCAGCCTGTCCCTGGCCAGGGTTTCCCTCTCCCTGCATCTTCAGAGGAGATCAAGGGATCCCCTGTGGCTGGTTCATGGCTTGGGTCCTTCGTGTGATGCTGCACATCAGCAGCAGAGAACGAGGTTTGTGACAGCTGGGAATGGGATTGGGGCTGGGAATGGGAGTGGGAATGGGAATGGCAGTGCCAGAGCTGCAGTGTGGCTCTGGTGCAGGCAGTGCCTGCTCAGTTCAGCTGCCCTGAAGTGCTGCTGGAGCAGTTTGAGGCTGATTTCAGCTGAGCCAAGGCCTGTTCTCATTCCCCAGGTGCCTCCAGGAGCAGCCCTGGGATGCTGGGGCCGAGCTCTGCCCAGAGCAGCCCCGTGCCCATCACCAAGGGTGGCTGGGGTGAGCTGAGCCTGCATCCCCAGAGCCCAGGAGCTGATGCCAGCACTGAAGCATCCTCTGACCCTGCATCCCACCCCCGGGGAGCTGCAAACACCACAGCTCTGCTGCCTGGGGCCGTGCCCGGGAGCCTGGCGGGGGCTGAGCTGCTGCACACAGCAGCCAGGAGGGCCCAGGATGGACACGCAGCTCCTGGCAAGCCCTGGAGCGGCTCCACACGGGGACCACGGGCCCCCGCAGCTCTGGCACCGCAGAGAGAAGCAGAAAATCCTCCTGGGGCTGGGCTCAGCCCTCCCAGCTCCAGCCCAGGGCTGCCCCGGCCCTCTCGGGGTGCAGGGACACCCCAGGACCCTCCCCAGGGCACAGCTCTCTCTTCCCCTCCTGTCATCAAGCACAGGGAGGTTCCAAGTCCCAAACCTTCTCCTCTGACCCCAGCGCTGGGTTTTCACCCAAGGAGAGAAACGGCAGCATCTGCATTTGCCCCCAGAGCTGGGATTTCTCTGGGAGGAGCAGGGGAGGCCTGGCTGCCCACGGGAACGCTTCCCACTGGGAAAAGGGCCCTGGACACGATCCCTGCAGCCCAGCCTGACCCCGGGGCAGGGGTGGATGCTGCAGTCACAACTTCTGCAATCCCAGCACAGCCAGCTCCAGGGGCCCTGGGCTCAGGCTATGCCAGAACAGCACAGGCCAGGCCCGTTGGGTTTCCCCCTCTTGTGTCTCTGCAGCAGGAGACCACAGGCAGCAAAGGCAGCAGCTCAGCCTCAGGTGGAACAATCGGTTCTGGACACCCAGCCCAGCTGCCTGCTCCTCACTCCTCCCTGCCAGGCAGCGGAAATTCTTCATTCTCCATGGAAGCTCTGGCTCCTGATGAGCTCCTGCCATCTCCATTCCAAACTGGCACAAGAGATGGACCACAGCCCCTCTCTTTGCACAGGGCTCCCACCTGCACCCACGTTCCCCCAGAGAGCAACAGGAGCTCTCAGGAGATGGCAGCTCTGGCTCTGCAAGGAGATGCTGCTCCTTGGGCAGCGACAGGGAGACCTGGAAAATCTCTCTCCCCTGAGAGCCCACAGCCTTCTCTGAGCTCATCCTCATTAATCCAGTTGTGGATTTCCACATTTAAACCTTCCCCAACTACTAAAGACCTCAAAGAAACATCTGCCCTCTCCCCAGGAATGCCCAGCTTTGGGAATGGTGACCTCCAGCCCTGGGATTCTGTCCCAGCACTGCTTCAGCCTCCTGGTGCCTCTGCTCCTGCTGGTGCTGGGATGCAGCCCATGAGCCTCCACACCCCGACCAGCTCACCCACATCTCCTGGCTCTGGGCCCCAGCTCCAAGGAGCTTCTGCCCCTCCTGTGCCTCGGGGAGCTTTGGCTGGGATGCTGCAGGTGAGCACAGGGAGAAGAAGCAAGCCTGGTTCTCCTCCACTGTCCCCAGCAGCCAGCCCTGTCCCCAAACCTGGCTCTCCAGTGCTGTCCCCAGCTGCCAGCCCTGTCCCCAGCCCCTCTGCAGCTCACAGCCACAGGGACCAGGCAGTTCCCCTTCCCAGCCTTGTCCCTCCCAGCCCCACCAAGCTGGGAGCTCCTGCTCCTCTGCTGCTCTCCTCCCCTGCCCAGGGAAGCCATCCCAGCTCCACTACAGCACTTCCCACTCCATGGGTGCCCCGTGAGGTCCCAGCAGCCCTGGCACAGGCTCTGGTGCAGCAGTTCAGGATGTCCCTTGATGCAGCTGCCAAGAACCTCAGCACAGTCAGAGGTGACCCCCTGACCCTGCTGCCCTCGTCCCCACACTTGTCCTTCGTGCTGAAGAGCACTGATGGCATGATCTGCCTGCAGCCCATGCAGGATTCCCCTCTCCCTGCAGAATTCCCAAATTCCAGCCTTGGGGGGCTGCTTTCCATCCAGGAAATCCTGGCAGCACCCAATTCTTCAGCGCTGGAGCTCGCAAACTTCCACCTGAGCCCTTCCAGCTTGGTCCTGGTCAGGCCTGTGTTTGTCCTGCTGCCCAGTGACACAGCACGCTCCCAGGTGCTGCCCTCTCCTCTGGGTGACCACAGCATGGCCCAGCTGGCCACAAGTGTGGGCACAACCAGGAGCAGCCAGGACATCCCAGTGAAAACCAGTCCCTCTCATCCCCCTGGGATATCTGTGGGACCTGGGACTGCTCTGTCCACTGTGTCCAAGCAACAAGCAGAGAGAGCAAAAGTAAATTCTGAGCCAGTGCCAGCAAATCCTGTTCCTACAGCCCTCAGGGGCTTGTCCCCAGCTGTCACCTCAGCCCCAGGGCATGTGCTGGACCCCAGGACAAGCCCCACAGTGCAGACCATGCCCAGGCTGCCTGAGGAGATGCAGATTCCTGCTCCCCATCCCCAGCAGGCCACGGGCACTGATTTGCTCTCCTTGTCAGCAGAGCCTGGCACCTCCCCTGTGCCACCAGAGCTGGTGTCCACTCAGAGCCTCCAACCTTCCCCCAAAGTGTATTTCAGCACTGAAAGGCCACAGTCTTCATCTGGAGCTCCTTTCCTGGCAGCAGGGGAACCCCAGGGGTCCCCAGAGCCTGCCCAGGCTGGGAGCAGCACAGGGGCTGCAGGGCAGGGGGGCTCAGCATCCACCCCCAGCCCATCCCGTGCCCCCTGCACGGGGTGTTTGCCTCCCAAACCCCTTCCCAGGGCACTCCCCAGCACCAAACCCCCACTGCCCTCCCCTCAAAGGCTCCTGGGCACCGAGCTGCTGCCTTCTCCAGTTGCTCCCAGCACATCCTCAGCCTCCTCCGTGCTTCCAGCTGGGAATGAGCAGAGCACAGTGGGCAGCACAGCCCGGGCTGCAGCCCCTGTGCCTGCCCCAGCAGCACAAACCCCCAGCACTGCTGGAAAACCTCGTCTCACTCAGCGTTTGGAGCTGGGATTCACCCCCACCGTGCCTCAGCCCTTCACAGGCACACGGAGACCAGCAGCAGAGCAGACTCCGCTCTCCACAGAGCTCCAAAGGGAAACAAGGATTTCTGGGCAGGCTCTGGCTGTGGTGACCCACACAGGGATGTCTGCCAGTGCTCCCACACCTGCCCCAGCTCCTGCTGAGCTCTTCTCCCAGGCCAGCACGGGACAAAGCACGAGAGCTGGGAGCAGCAGCAGTGCAGGGAAAGCAGGAGCTGCTCTGGGATCCAGCGTGTCTCCACGGGCTGTGCTCAAGCCAAGGACACCACAGCCGCACCCAGCAGCCCTGGGGAACGAGCTGCCTTTAACTCCCACCCCAGCTGTGGCCACAGGCTCTGCCCCTGCCCTGCAGGACCATCCCAAAGCCAGCCGGGGCACTCCTCTCCCTGCAGCCAAGGGTGTCACCTCTCCCCTCAGAGAGCTGCTGCCCCTGCCCAGCCCAGCCCTGCAGCCTGACCCCAGCGTGGGGCTCAGCTCCTCAGGGACCGGGGAGGGGGCAGCAAGGGGAGGTGCAGCCCCCACTCAGGCACCCGTGTCTGCTGCACGCCCAGCATCAGCCAGACTCCTGCTGGAGGAGGTGTCCCACCCTCTGGAAAACGTATCCCACCCTCTGAAGAATGTATCCCACCCTCTGGAGGTATCTCATCCTCTGGAGAACATATCTCACACTCTGGAGAACATATCCCACCCTCTGGAGATCATATCCCACACTCTGGAGGTATCTCACCCTCTGGAGAACGTATCCCACTCTCTGGACGAGGTATCCCACACCCTGGAGAACTCATCCCACCCTCTGGAAAATGTATCCCACCCTCTGGAGAAGGTGTCCCACCCTCTGGAGAACATATCCCACTCTCTGGAAGAGGTATCCCACACCCTGGAGAACTCATCCCACTCCCTGGAGAATGTATCCCACCCTTTGGAGAAGATGTCTCACCCTCTGGATAACATATCCTACTCCCTGGAAAATGTAACCCACGCTCTGGAGGTATCCCACCCTTTAGAGAATGTATCCCACCCTCTGGAGATATCCCACTCCCTGGAGAACGTATCCCACCCTCTGGATGAGGTATCCCACCCTCTGGAGGTGTCCCACTCCCTGGAGAATGTATCCCACCCTCTGGATAATGTATCCCACCCTCTGGAGGTGTCCCACCCTTTGGAGGAGGATGTCACAGAACTGGGCACTGGTCACTCCAGCCGTGGCATGGCTGCCCTGTCCCCCACACCCACAGCAGTTCCTGTCCCTGCTAATTGGCTCATTAATCAGGGCACTGATGAGCCCGCTGTCCGTGACCCTGAGCTGCTCCCAGCCAGGGGCCTCAGCCAGGAGCCCCCGGCCACAGAGAGCCCCTGGCTGGGTGCTGCGGGCACTGACTCAGCCCAGGGGCTGCTGCTGAGCACGGAGGGGGCCGAGGAGCAGGGCAGGACGAGGGAGGTGACAGATGGAGCAGCTGAAGGCTTGGGGACAGCGGTGACACTGGAGCCTGGAGCCCTGCAGAGCGGCTCCCAGCAGAGGAGGGGGCTGCACTCGGATATCACCGTGCTGGACGGGCAAGTACCCCTGGCCCCTGCTTTGGCTGCTGCTGCTGCAGCATTTTATTATTCATTTTTATTCATTTCATTCGTAGTTTTATTCATTTTATTCCCTTTTTTCCCTTTCTCCCCAGCCTCGCCATCGTGAGCGACTCCTGCGGCTCCGGGAACCACTCGGTGCGGCTGAGGCTGAGCCCTGCAGGGGACACGGCCCCCGGGCCCCCAGGCTCAGAGCCCTCCCAGGACACCTTCCTGGCCCAGGTGGCCCTGCAGGGTGACAGCAGCCAGGCCCTGCTCCAGCTCCACTCGTGCTGTGTGAGCCCCTCGGCCAGCGCCGGGGCTGCGGGGGCCCAGTGCTGCCTCTTCCGCAGGTGGGAAAGGGAAAAACCCCCCTTGGGCTGGGATTGATGGAAATGAACTGTCCTGTCTCCCCCGGGTGCTGGCACAGGTGTGCAGAGCCCCCTTTTTGCTGGGGAGGCTCATCCCAGGAGAGGGGGTGCAGGGATGCCAGCCAGGCTTCTCCACAGCCCATTCCAGCATCCCACCCGCCTGCTCCAGGCCAGGGGAGCGTGAGGATTCCTAAGGTGGGCTTTGGAAAGCCACCGGGGTGTGAAATGCGTGCTGCAGGCAGCTCAGGGGCTGGGTGGCACACTGCAGCAAAAGCAATCTCTGAAACAGCTCTGCTGCCCTCGGGCTCTGAGCAGGGCAGGCCCTGCTGGTGTTTTGTGGATTTTCCCGTATCTGGGATGAGGAAGCAGGGCTGTGCTGGGGAGTTTGTGCGGAGCTGGGATTTGGAGCTGTTGGCTGTTTGTTCCTGCCAGGCTGCCCTTGGAGTGCAGACACATCCAGCTGCTGAAGGGTGGCAGCTCCAGAGCCACCAGCTTCTCCATCCAGCTGTTCCAGATGTTGAACCACTCCGTGGCCTACCTGCACTGCGAGCTGAGGCTGTGCCTGCCCGGCTGTGAGCAGGTACCGAGGGCAGCTCTGACCCCACAGCACTCAGGAGGGATTTGGTGCTTCCAGAGTCTCCAGGGTCACCCCCTGGCCACCCCAATCCTCTGTAAAAGTCTAGGAGTTAATGGTGTGGGATGGTGGCAATAGTCGGTGATCCCTAAGAAAAGGAAATTAGGGAATAAAGGTTTACCCGTGTGCTGGGCTGAGAATTGGCAATTCACCTTTTGGAATGGCAGCAGAGCTGGAAAAGATTGAGGAGACCCAGGGCCCTGGGGCAGGAGGATCTGTTCAGGACACAGCCAGGTGTTTTCCCTGTCTCTCCCAGGGCTGCTTGGAGAGCATGGAGCCCCTTCCCCAGCCCAGTGACAGGACCAGCCATGGAAACCTGCACAACCTGGTCTCCCTCGGGCCTGTCTGGAGGATGAACAACAGGTTTCTGTACAAACCAGTGGAAGGTGGGGCTCTCCTTGTTTTAATTCTCTTGCAGAGGTTTTTTGCTCAGCTTTTCCTGCTCCAGGGAAAGCAGCACATTTATTAATCACTTTCTTGATTAGATTATATCCCAACAACTCCCCACCTTTGCTTTGGCCTCCCTAAGTCCCAGACATGGGGATTTAGTGTCACATCCAACAGAGTTCCAGCCAGGAGACGCAGCCAAAGGCGCCCTGTGAAGGAACTGAAGCTTTAGGAGGAGGAAAGGGGAGAAAAATGAGGCAGAATGTTCTCAGTCTGTAGAGAATTGCAGCATTTTGGAGCAGAATGAGGGTGGCCACAGGTCAGGAGTGTTCCTAGGTGAAATACAGAAGCTTGTTAATGTTAATTAAATGTTTATAGCTATTAGAAAAGAGTGGCACTGAGCTGGTAAAACATGAGAGACTTCTCAAAGCCCACTGGCACCATCCCTGACTCCTCATGTCTTTATTTGTGCAAAGAACATTTCTGACTGCTCGATTTCCTGTCTCTCTGTGTCCAGGCTCTGCTCCTGCCATGCTGCTGCCCATCCTGCTGGGATCCCTCGCTGCCTGTGCTGTCCTGGCCACTGCTCTCATGGGGCTGTGGCTGCAGCACCGGCACAGAGCCAAGGCCAGCCCTTATCCCCTCTCTGGAGAGCTGCAGGGGCTGTGATCCCGAGCCCTGCCCCTGCAGCTCCCCCAGAGAAGCAGCTGGATTTGCTTTGCCTCTGTAGAGCTCCTGCTGAGCCAGGGAGCAGGAGATGCCACCTCTGTTCCGAGCCTGCTGCTCCCTCCTCCCTTTCCTTCTGCATCAGCGACTCCACAAACTGCGGGGTAGAGAAGGAATCCTCGTGGTGCTCCAGGGACAGCAGAGCTGGAAGCCCAGGCCAGGCTGGGCACAGAAATGGGGAAGCAGAGAGGAGATGGGGGCAGGTGAAATACAGCACTGGGCACTAGAGCCTGCCACCAGGAAGAAACAGCAGGGAAATGATGGAATTGGGAGCATGGACGGGACCCAAGAGCTCCAGAGATGTGTCCCTTCGGCAGAGGGAGTGACCAGCAGGACTCCTCACCTCCTGCTGCTCCTGCCCTCGGAGCTGCTGGCCCAGAAATGCACCTGGAAGGTGTGGGGAGGGAGAGGAGCAGCAGCAGCACGGACCCAGCGTTCCCCCAGCGCCTCCTCCTCCTCCTGAGCTGTCTGTAATAAACCTGAGCATCGCAGTGTTTGTCTGGTCTGTGCCTGCACCTGAGGGAATGGGGCCCGTTGTCCTCAGCTCCAAAATTGTGTTGGCAGGTGGGACTGGAGGGGAGCAGAGCATCACTCCTGGTGGGCACCTCCTGTGCCAGGGAATCGGCAACAAACCCGTTCTAATTGGGTTTTTATTCTCCCTAGAAGGCTGCAGAGCCTGGCTGGCTTTTTTTCCTTTTCCCCTCTTTCTTTCCTTAAAAGAAGGGTCCACTACCAGAGCCCCTCGTGTCAGGGCAACAGAAGTAACTCACATTTCTACCTGGGTCAGCCTTCCCCCAAGGATTCCTCAAGGTTCTGCTACAGAACTAAAAATCCCAGTGGCAGTGAGACAATTAACCTGCAGCAGTGCTAATTGTTATTTGTGCTGCAGTGGCACTGAGGAAATCAGCAGCACCTTGTGTGTGACACTGAGCTGCCTCCAGAGAGAGCTGAGGCATTAAAGACACAAATGCACAAGAGTTTTTAAACCCCTTTTCAGCTGAAGGTGTGGGTGCTGCTTCTGGTGCTCACATGGTGAGGGTTAAACTGCTCTGACCAGCCTTTGTTCCTCCAAACACCCATTTCCAGGGATTTGACAGCAGCTTTTATTTTATCCCTGAAGGAACTGCTCTGCTTTACCACTTTCTGGTATTTCTGCTGAGGTTTTTTCCTCAGGCTCTATGCACTTATGTGCTAGTTCTGGTTGTTCAGGAGTTTTTCCTGTTCTTTATCTTGCTGGAGTGTTTTCCACCCCTCCATCCAGCTGCTTCTGTGGGGTTTTTTTCCCTCTGTTCTTTCTGGTGTGTTTTGCACATCTCTCATGTACAATTCTGCCTCGTGGATTTCTCTGTTCCCCTCAAGCATCACCCACTTCCCCACCTCCCTTTCCCCCAGGCTGTGCTGATGCCTCAGATGAGGAATCCCCTCCTCAGCACAGAGCAACCACAAATGGATTATTCCTCACACCATTTCCCACCTGGAATTCTTTGAGGATTTGCCCATCCAGTGCTGGATACGAGCGAGCAGAGCCACACTGCGAGCTGGAGCTGAGCCAGCTCCTGTGAGAGCTGAAGGCAGCAGCAGTGAGGTTCTGCCCCCAGGTGAATGCACCTGTCCTGGGGTGCCTCCCCTCCCTGGGCAGGGCAGGGCAGGGCAGGAGGAGCTGGCTGTGCTCCCCAGCAGCCAGGCAGGAGCAGGAGCTGGGCCATGGGTACAGAGAGGGGCCGGCAGCTGGGCAGCCTGACCGTGTTCAGCAAGGAGGATTTTGAGGATGACTGGGTGCGAGTGGCCAGCGGGGGCTTTGGCCACGTGTACCAGGTGAAGCACAGGAGGTGGAGGACGGTCTATGCTGTGAAATGCTCCCCGTACCTGCTGCAGGACTCCAGCACCGACAGGTAACCCCTGCTCTGCTCTGCACCGTCCCTGCTGCGAGGATCTGGGGGTAAAACTGTGGGAAAGAGCTCCTGCTCCTCGGGAAATGCAGGGCTGGGCACCCAGAGGGAGTGGGAAATAGGAGCTCTGCCTCTATCCTCGTGTGTGGATGTGCAAAGGGACAGAAGGAATGGGGGAATAGGACAGGGCTGGCACCAGGGCTGAGGTCAGCGCCTTGAACTTGGATAAAAGCAGCCTGGTGGCGGATCTGCAGCTTCCACTGCACACGGGGGCTGATGTGTATCAATCAAACTGAATTAACCACCAAAATCAGCAGGTTTAGAGATGTGGGGCAGAGGATTTACAGCTGGTTTCGCTGCCCTGCTCCCGTAGCCTCCAGACATCTCTTTCCTCTCCATGGTGCATCTGTAGCTCCTCTCTGCTTCTTGCTCTGTCTTTCACCTGCAGAGACTCTTCTGGTGCCCAGCTCGTGTCTGGAGATGGAGCAGGGCCAGGTAATCACAGCCACTGCTGATAACACATCCAGCACAGGCAGAGCTGATGGGAAAACAACCGAGTTGGTGAAGTTATTTCATTTAAAATTTTATTCCATTCAATTTGGGAGGATCCTGCCTGGATAAAAATCTCACTCTCGTGTGATTTCTTGTTACTGACAGCAACTGAGCTCAGGCTGAGCACTGACTGTCCTCAGTTTACTCTGCAGATATTACATTTGCATTTTTTTCTTGTTTGATGGAGGGGAAAAAAGAGTCAAATAATCAGTTTTACTTCTGTGTCTTATCAGTTGTAGTAAAATACCTGAGATTCCTCAGCCCACGGGTAGGTCACTCTGTGAGGAGCCTGCTAGAGGAAGTCTGGCAGAAGATTTTGCTTGGCTGAACCATTTTAGATCAATTAATGGCCTGGCTGAGTTGCTGGCAGCTCAGCTCCATTCCCAGGGTGTGCTTTTTAAAGGCACTCCTGGCACTTTGCTGCTTGGCTGCTCCCAGAGCACCCCAAACTTGTTCAGCAGGTCGGGAGAGGTGAAACTTTGGAGAATTTGGAGAAGCAGGTCTGCCAGAGCTGGCAGAGAGGAGCAGACGTGCCTGGGTCCCCCCTGAGCAGGGTCACCGTGCTCAGGGACAGCAGCTGCAGGAGAGCACGGAGCTGTGCCTGCTCCTGGCATCCTGCTGCCACGGAAACCCTGGGAATTTCACAGAATCACAGAGTGGTTTGGGTGGGGAGGAGCCTTAAAGCTCATTTAATTCCTTCCCTGCCATGGCCAGGGGCACCTTCCACTATCCCAAGCTGCTCCAGCCTGGCCTGGGACACTTCCAGGGATGGGGCAGCCTCTGGGAATTCCATCCCAGCTCCTCCCCACCCTCACAGGGAAGGATTCCTCCCCAGTATCCCATCTAACCCTGCCCTGTGGCAATTTAAAGCCATTTCACCAGTGTGACAAGCACAGGCTCTCTGTCCTCGCTGCTAAGGATTGAAATAAGTACCAGTTTTTCATCTCTTTCCCTTTTTATTTTGCCCAAATAAACCTCAGCTCATTTTGAGAAGTCACGTGTGGCAGCATTATCACCAGCTCAAGGGGGGATTTGGGATGGATCTATTTGGGCAGGCAGTGCTGGGAAAGGCTGAGTATCACTAAGTTACTACAGAGTTACTGAGCCTGTGAATTGACTGATAACATTTCCTTATTTTTTTATTTTCAATTTTCCAGGACCAGCATGAACTGCCTAATGGAAGAGGCAAGCAAGATGGAGAAAATCAAATTCCAGCACATTGTCACCATCTACGGGGTGTGCAACAGCCCTCTGGGGATAGTGATGGAATATATGGCCAGGGGGTCCTTGGAGAGAATCCTTCCCACTCACAGAATGTCCTGGCAGCTGAAATTCCGCGTGATCCATGAGATGGGCTTGGCCATGAATTTCCTGCACAGCATGAGCCCTCCTCTGCTGCACTTGGATCTGAAGCCAGGGAATGTCCTCCTGGATGGGAACATGCATGTCAAGGTATGGCCTTAGTGCTGGCTTTGTTATTTCTCCAATAAGAGCGAGGTTATTTCTGCCAAGCGAGCCCAGAATCCCAGTAAATCAGGTTCTTCAGGAGCACTCCATGGAAGATTGACCTGTGGGGTGTTTAACAAGCAGCTGGTGAGCAAATTACACGGTGTTCCCAAGATCACACAGGGAATCTGGGCCAGCACTGGGAGTTTAAGGCTCCAGCTGCACTCAGTGGCTGCAGGTTGTCAGGGTTTTATCAGGCTCACACCTCCTCCAGTCCCTGATCCCAAAGGATGGGAGGATGCCCAGGTGACAGCAGGAGGGATGAGTGTGAGCATTTCGGGGCAGTTTCCCTGTTCCTGCTTGCAGATCTCTGACTTTGGGCTGTCCAAGTGGATGGAGCAATCCAGCAGGATGCAGTACATCGAGAGCTCAGCTCTGAGGGGCACCCTGAGCTACATCCCCCCCGAAATGTTCCTGCAGAACAGCAAACCCCCGGGGATCAAGTACGATGTGTACAGGTGAGGGCTGAGCCAGGGCACCCAGGGGTGTCCTGACACACAGCAAGGGGGGCTGGAACGCTGCCTCAGCTTGTTCAGTTTCTGGTTTTCTGCCTCGTGGAACGTGGGGAACACTGGGGTGCCCTGACCTCAGTGGTGGAGACTGAGAGAGGGGGATTCTCTGTGGGTAATCATCATCCCAATGAAGGAGCTGCAGGCTGCACTGCCCCAGGTGCCCCCACACCCCGTTCCCATAAACCCAGGTGAGATCAGAGCCCAGAACAGTCAGTGCTGCTCTTTCATCACAGATGCTGCTGAGATTGATTTTAAAACAATTCCAATATTGGCTTATCTGCCTCAGTGTTCAGCTTCATTTTGGTCAGGAACAGACAGAGATTTCAATTTGGCTTTTGTCCTTTTGGGCAAGGAGCTTTGCAGCACATCCACACGAGCTCCGTGTCTGGAAATTCCTCAGCTCCCTGGCCTTCACAGTACAGAGAGACCCGAGGCAAGAGGGAAAGGAGGATTGGCACAGCCACAGGAACTTGCAGGAGCCAAGGGCTCTAAACCCCAATGTGAATAAAGTGGAAAAAAGGCACTGAGAGCCTGACTTTGGCAGGAAAGGCTCCAAGTCACTCATTCCCTGCACAGGGTGATGACCCCACTCTTAAGGGAGATGCATTAGGCAGAATCATGAGGCCTGAACCTTTTGGATCCTTTCATCTGGAGGATGAAATCCTTCTGCTCTGGGAGATTAAATCTTTCCCTCCTGAGGAGCTTCCTTCCTGACCTTCCCATTTCTCAAGAAGGCAGAAGCAATAAGTGCATTTAACCTCCAAGTGCTCACAGTCTCTCCTCTCCCGCAGCTTCGGGATCGTCATCTGGGAGGTTCTCATGCAGAAGAAACCTTACGCAGGTAAACACAAACCCTGCAGCTGTGGAGTGTTTCTTCCAGCCCTCTTCCCAGGGAAAACACCCAGAGAGTGCTGGTTCTTTCCAGGGGCCAACATGATGGCCATCATCGTGAAGGTGGCAGCGGGGAAGAGGCCGGGGCTGGAGCTGGTCAGGGACGACTGGCCCGGGGAGTGCCACCAGATGGTCGACCTGATGAAGAGGTGCTGGGACCAGGACCCCAAGCAAAGGCCAAGCTTTGCAGGTGGGACTGGGATGTGGATTAGCCAAGGCTCAGCCCCACGGGTTGACAAGCAGGGGATAAGTTTGTGTCCAGTTTTGTTGTCTCACATCCCCTTCATCGCTCTGCCCTCCCCTCCCACGTGGGTCCTGCCTGGCCCTGGGGCCCGGGGCAGCCTGCCCAGCTGAGCTGCTGTGCCCTGGCAGATATCCCTGTGGAGACAGACGTGCTGCTGGCCCTGATCCAGAGCCTGGTGCAGGACCCGGAGAACGAGCGCCTGGTCAGGAAGATGTCCCACAAACCGGCCATCTCCAGGAGCCAGCAGGTGAGGAGAGCCCCCCTGGGCCACTCAGGAAATTCCAGTGAGTCTGCTCCTTGTTCTTACCAGATCCTGAGGCTGTTTCCCCTCCCAAAGGTGCACCTCAGCACCTTCGCAGGGTGTCTGCACAGGCTGTGCCTCTGTACTTCATTTATGGGGATAAGACACTTGCAAATGAATTAACAAATGCACTAAATGATAAATGGTCAGAGAGGAAAACCCTTTTCTAGACCTGCTCAGGTGAACTCGGTTTATCATGGTGGCCTCAGACACTAAAAGAAACTCGAGCAAACACAGGATTACAGAGTTCTGTTCATGGCACAAAACCGAGGATGTTCCAGTTTGAACAACTCTTACAGAAATGAAAAAAAAAAAATAGTTTTAAATCCCCACGTTTCTCTGGCTAAGAAAATAATTCTGGATTGTCACAGCGCAATCCCAGCTACTGGAGTAATTATACCTAGAAAACAGGGAGAGATTGGAGGTGGGAATTATTGGTATTTAGAGGGTTTTGTCAAGCTGTGCAAGAAACCAGAGGCTTGAAGAGGTGGGGGCTTGGGAGTCCCTAAACAACAGAGGAAATAATTCTGGGGTGCTGCCATGCAGCCAGGAAGCAGAATATGTGTGTGTTTGGGAGTAAAAGAGCACGAGGGGGAAAAGCTCATGGATATCCAGAGATCATCTTCAGGCTCCCCCGTTCCTGCTGTGTCACGACTGACTGAGCTGAGTTTTGGGTGCCAAAGCAGGACTGGATAAAAAAAACTCTCAGATGATGACACAAAACTGCAGAGCAGCAGCAAAGCACTTTGTGCAAACATTACAGAATGCAAATAAACACTTTGTCTTATCCTTTTTCTTCCCTCCTTTCCGAAAACAAGAGTGACAAAGAGGAGCTCACCTTCCCCCCAGACACCAGGAGTGGGGGTAAGTAGGGGACTGGCTTTAGAGCTGAAAATTAAAGAAGGGGAAGCTATAAAAGCCGACTATTTGTTGTAGAAGGATGTGGCTCATAAGGTTTTCCACGTGGGTGACATTTTAAGTTAAGGAAAATGAACTATTCAGGAAATAGACACCGAATGTCCCAGGGCACGTCTGGCCTTATTTTACATTCCTTATCTCTCAAATGACTTTACTTCATGTCATTCTATCAAGAGTCCCAAGCTCTCCCTCCCTCCTTGGGAGTTTCTCACTCGGTTTCGCTCTTTTTCTCCCGTTCTGTGTCCCTGCCTTTAGGAAAGGCCAAGGAGGAGGCTCCTGGCCCAGCTCCGCGCGGGGAGGCCGGGAGCCCCGAGGAGCTGGGGCCCGAGGAGCTGGGCAGGCTGCAGGAGAACGGCCTGACCCTGCTGCACCTCATGGTGCTGCAGGGCAACGTGGCCAAGGTGCGGCTGCTGCTGGGCCGCCGGGCCGGCGTCAACAGCGCGGCGGGCGGCGGCTGCACCCCGCTGCTCGTGGCCGTGCAGCGGCGGCTCCCCGAGATCTGCTGCGTCCTCATCGAGCACGGCGCCGACGTCAACGCCGCCGACNACCCCGCTGCACGTGGCTGTGGAGAGGGGAAAGTTCAGGGTGGTGCAGTATCTGCTGAAGAACGGCATCTCCGTCAACAGCCTGGACCAGAACCACTACAGCGCCCTGCACCTGGCCGTGGCCCGGGGCAAGTACCTGATCTGCGAGAAACTCATCAAATACGGGGCCAACGTGGAGCTGAGGACGGACAAAGGCTGGACCCCCCTGCACCTGGCCGCCTTCAAGGGGCACGTGGAGATCATCCGGCTGCTGAAGGGCAGCCGCGCCCGGCTGGACGCCAAGGGCAGCATGGACTGGACGCCGCTGCACCTGGCCACGCGCTACGGGGACGAGCCGGCGGTCAGCGAGCTGCTGCGCTGCGGGGCCGACCCCAACACCGCAGAGAGGTCCCACTGGGCCCCCCTGCACTTCTCCGTGCTCAGGGGCTCCTTCCTCAGCGTCATCAACCTCCTGGAGTGCCGGGCCGACGTCAACGCCAGGAACAAGGTGGGCTGGACCCCGCTGCACCTGGCCGTGCTCAAGGGCAACATGGCCATCATCAAGACCCTGCTGAAGGCCGGGGCTCTGCTGGACGTGGAGGACATCACGGGCTGCACGGCCCTGCAGCTGGCGGTGAGGCACCAGCGGGAGAACATCATCACCCTGCTCCAGGGCAAGGAGTCCTCGGGGAACAAGGGTGAGAACAGGACTCTGAACGATGCCAAGATTGCCAGGCTCGTCCCAGGAAGGACAGATCTGTAAATTCATCAGCTCTGGAATTTGCAGCTTGAGCTTTCCCACGTCAGGTGTGATGCCTTAAAGCACCTTGTCCTGTCACCTGCTGATTGCAGGAAAATATTTCCCCTTTTTAAATGGAAGGTTTTAAGCATGAACACTAAGAGAGTAAAAGAAAATGAGGTTATTTGATGGCAACTTCTTTTCCCAGCTTGTAGAAGGTTTTGGCTTGGTGACACTTTAGGCAGTGCTTTCCTACTGAATCCTTCCTGAGCAGGGATTTATGCACCCCCTGTTCATGCAGGCAGTGCTGAAGCTGTGCACAGCACACACACGCCTTCCACAGCTTTTATTGCTTTTATTCCATGTTTTCCTACAGAGAAAATTGGTGTAAAATGGCCCTGGCACAGGTGGGAATTGAATCGTGAGATTCTCACCTGCTGCTGGCACAGCAATGTGTCAGATTTCCTGACATCTCCTTTCTGCAACAAGAATCAAATGAGGCAGGAAAATCACTGGGAGAGAATATTGAAATGGATGCAGCACAGGGAGCAGAAATTCCAGAACAATCACACACGAGATCTGGCTGCTTGCAGGTCAAGGTCCGAGTCGTGTCTCTGGGGGGAAAATAATTCCTGCTTTCCTTCGGGAAGATGTTCCAGAGCTCGATCACTCCAGTGAAAAACATCTTCTTGGTGGATTTGCTTCCCTTGTGGCAGTGAGCAGCACTGTGTGCAGCTCTGACAGCCCTGCTGTGATTCCTGTCCCCAGAAGTGCCTGCTGGGAGGGTGACTTGTGGTGGCCTGGAGCTGGGCAGAGGCTGGAATAGAAACAAACAACCCCAGCTCTGCAGGGAAGCTGTTATGGCCTGATAAAGTGAGATTAAATGGGTTAAAAAGAGGGGTTAAAAAGCCCAGCCTCTACTAATTTTGTTTTCATTTTATATCAGCTTAAAGTATTGATGTGTGCTGTATTCAAATCCAGTTTTTCATGATGCTTTGGCACCAAAGCCTTTAGATATCATTTAAAATAAATTGTAATGAAATGATTCATTTTCAACATTTGCCTTTGGTGAAGGGAGGAGCTGGGCAGGTTATGAAGTGAAATGCTGGTGACATTTTGGGTTGCAGGGAGTGTAAAAAATGGACTTTTTTTATTGCATCCACCAAAAGAAAAAAAAAATCTCAAAAACTGCTTGGCATTTCCCTGATTTACCTGCTCTTGATATTCTCTAATTTTGTCCAAGGAGAAAGGCCTGGCTGGAAGGAATTCTTGGGATGCTCAGCCCTTCCTGTGCAGCTCCTTCCCTCAGCTTCAGCTGTATTGATTCAGGAAATGTCTCCCCTGCTTGGTGTCAACTGAAATATTTACCCAGAAAAAAGAAATCCAATTGCCACATAATTCAGCAGCTCCTTTCTGTCCCTGCTCCAGCAGAAAAACAAAACTCAGCTCGTATGTCATGGAATGTTCTCTAAAAGAGCTTAATTAAATTTATAATGAAAATAACAGGGGATTAAGAAGACACGAGGGAAATACATTGCTCTTGCAGAGCATTCCAGAGGTGATAGAAGCAATTTGCAGAGAAAATTACCTGTTTGCTGCTCAGTTTCTATAGAAATTAAATGAGTCTTTACAAACTCTGGAAAAGTGCATTCCAGCCTCCGCTTTGTGACTGTGCAACTTGCAGCTTATTTCTAAAATTATTCGTAGATCTCCATCCCCCCCCCTTTTTTTTTTTCCCCTTTTTCAACTCCATTTCAGTCTTTTGTCCCTGCTGATAGATCTGCTGCTGATTATCTCATGTTCTCACCCAAGAGCTGCCAAAGTTCACAGCCAAGGCAGCTCCTGGCAGGGCAAGGCAGCAGCAGCAGGGCAGAAACCTCCTGAACAGCTCGTTTAGATTCAAAAAGATCAAAACTGTTGACCTTTACGCCTCAAAAATCGTGGTTTTAAGGTAGCCAGAGCTGCCTGGGTGAGCAGGGTGGTGCTGCTGATTTTAGCAGAGAGTTCTGTGGAATGACATCCCTGTCCTGTAGCAGCCCCAGACATCCTGAGCCAAGGGGATATTTCCAGTCCAATTGCCCTTCAGAACCCCCAGAGAACCCCAGGATGGTTTGGGTTGGTCCCTCAGTTAAGAGGGGAAAACCCAGAGGGGGGAAATTCAAGGTCCCTTAAAGGTGATCTTGTTCCACCCCTGATGGCAGCTGGAGTCACCCCGAGCTCTGTAAATGCTGGGATGCCATTTGGGCTGCCTGCATCCCCTCCCCAGCATTTCCATCCAGGATATCCATGGGGAAACGGGGTGAGCCCCGTGTTCTCCACAAACAGCACACAGAGAAACCCAGAGGAAAGAAATCAACAGAAGCAGGGGATGTTTCACCAGGGGTGGAAGCTGGCATTGATTTCCTAAGTGCTCTCTCAGTGCTGGATCTGACTGTAATACAAATTTTCTGATGTAAAATTCGTTTGAAGGGGAGATGCTTGTTGTGATCAAAACGTGGACACTCCTGTGAGAAGCGTGGCTCTCCTGTGAGGGAATGTTCACAGGAAAATGTTTGGAAGTGAAGTCAGTTAAATCCACGTTTTGCATTGCTCCTGCTTCCCAGCCACTGTGATTTGTTTGTTTGGCAGCGCTGCAATTATGCAGATATGGGATTAAATTAAAATTAAAATAATGCTGCGTTTTAGAGGAAAAGAGATCTGAATAAATACAGCTTGTGGGGGGGGAAAAAACCCTTATTTTTAGCAGAAATGCTTGTTTTTTTCCATAGCCCCTTAGGTGTGGAAAATCAAGATGTTTCTGACAGCAGTGATGTGAATGTAGGAGGGAGTGATTTTAATGTAAGAAGGAATAGTGAATTCTCTGTGTTTCTTTTTCTTGCAAGGAGGTGGTTGTAGGCTCTGTGCTGTGGCAGACGTCAGTGTGAGACGTGCCTGGCTCCTGCTCAGCCTTTCCACGGCCTGGCAGAATTCACCCTGCTCCCTTCCCAGCTCTCCCCAGCTCCAGGGATGGGTTCTGTCCCCTTCCCTTGCAATATTTCCACGTTCTCACCTCCAAAAGCAGCTCCCCACCCAGTTCCATCAGTGCAGGTGTGAGCTCCACTTCCATTAGAATAATGGGAAAAGGGGCCTGACTGGGAATCAAGGAGCACTTGCTGTTTCCTCCTAGCAGGCATCTCATCCCCAGCAAGTTCAACATCTTTTGATCAGCTGCTGCTTTCCTCTCCTCTGGCTCAGAGCACAGCAGGGAACCCTCCTCTTGTGCAATTTGCTGCTGGCCTCGTTCTCTTATTTGGGAAAAAAAAGCCCCACAAAGCCAAGCCCAAAAGTGATTGTTTTTAAAGCCTGAGGTTCTTGGCAGTGAGAGGTGGAGTTCAGCTCTGTGGGGACAGGTTGGGGAGGAGATGTCACAGCTCAGACTCATTTTGGCAATTCAGTGCTCCTCACACCCCCTGTGGCCTTGGGAAAAATCTTTTGTACCCAAACAAAGCCCAGGGAAAGATTTATATCCCTCCTGCAAGAACAACAGGGCACCTCAGAGGTTCAGAGCCATAAATCTGCTGCCCAGCCTGGGCTTGGGAGGTGGTGGAACCATGGAATCTGTGAGTCTAAAAAGCTCTTTTTGTGGCAAAGATTGGTGCCACGCACAGCAGTGTGCTGGGAGGAACAGAAAACCCTCCCTGGAACACCCCTGCACTGAATTTCCCTTAAAAAAATATCAGGTACAGAGATCATTTCCAAATGATCCAGGAGAAAAGCCAGAGAGCAGGAGCAAACTCCCCATCCTGGAGGGAATTTCTCCTAGATAAAAAGAAATAAATAATCCCCACCAGGCTCTCTGGTTAGAAAATATCCCATTACAGACTCAAGTCCATCTGGAGCAATTACAGAGAGGAGCATTAGGCCGGGGTCAGCAATCAGGAGGTGTAGTAATTAGCTGTAATAAGGGCTAAAATGAGCCTTTGTTTGCTGCTGTGCTACAAGGCCATTACTTTAGAAATAAAAGGGAAATATTACAGACACTGAGAAAATTCAGCTTTGACAGAATTGTGGTTTGGGGCATTTCTGGCCTCATTCCATGGCACTTTCACTGCTCCTCAGCACCAGCCTGCTCCTCAGCAAGGCACAGCAGCCTTCTTATCACCAGCCTGATTTTATTGCCATTCTTTGGGCAAACCCTTAATATCTGCTCCAAGCAGAAAAAAAAAAAAAAATCCTTACAAGGCATTCAGGGAATTAATTTTCTCGCCTTGGAAAAGACTGCAGTCCGCCAAAATGTTTTGCTGAGGCTGCCTTGCCTTTATTTTGTTTAAGTCTTTGTTTTGTAAGCCCCAGCAGGATTCCTCCCAGGAGAGCTGAGCTGCCCGATGTGCTGCTCCTTTCAGCTGAGCACAGTCGTGTTCTGCTCCAGGGAATGCTGGAAAATGCCACAGGACATGAGCCCACTCAGACATTAAAAAGTGGCAGGGAAAAATCAACAACAAAACCAGAGAAAAGGCAGAATGCATCTGAAATCTGGTGAGCTTGGAAAAGCGCTGCTTTTGAGGTTGTTTGGGAGTCTGGGAGAAGCTCGTGGCATCTCCTTGGCCCCACAGAATCACTGATGCTGGGAAAGGCCTCTAAGATCATCTTTTCCAACATTTTTACATCCCAGTCAGGACAGCAGGGAAGGGCAGCCCTGGAATTCACCTGGAAAACCTGGCCCAGGGCCTGGTCTCTCTCTGTTTGTAGGCCGAGGGAGGAAATTTCAAAGTGTGCCTAAAACATAAGCAGGGATTTGGGAATTTTGGAGGCTTAGACAGCTGGAGGATGAGTCTTGATGCAAAAGCAGCTTTTTGCCAAGGAGTTAAAGCTGTTGGTGAGCTCGTGCAGTGAGTTCCTCCTCCCTAGACACCCTGCTGTCTTCCCCTGCAGCACAAGGACGTGCTGGGACGAAGCCCCTGGGATGTCACCCACAGGGGACAGCTTTCCCCCAAGGCTTTGGGGTCTAAATGCCTGTTCCCAGCTCTGCCAGCCTGGCTGGGTGAAGAAGAGCGTCTCAGTCACTCTACTCATGGAACACTTCCTTCTGTTTGTTTGGGGTTTTTTTTTAATTAAGAAGGAGGTAGAATTTGCTGTGATTTTCCCTGGTATCTCTGAATCACATCCCAGTCCCTACTATTTCACTGTCTGCAGTCTTCCCCAGTGATTCTGGCCTCAGCTTTGAAGTGATTTAGGGCTTGTTTATCACAAAGGCAATCAGACATGCTCCTTCCCAGACACCCTGGAACTGCCAGGGAGCTGAATATTCCCTTTGCTGGGGGGGCTCAGACACAAAGGCAGAGCTAAACAGGTTACCAGGCACTACCTGAGCCCCAGCAAATCCCTGCCTGCATGTCTGCCCTCCCAGTAGCTCCAGGTAGGCATTTCAATGTAAACATGAAGAAGGAATGTGACCCGGAGCATCTGCCACCAGCTGGGAACATGCACAAACTCAATTACTGCAGCGCAGAAAATTGCCAGCCACAGTAATTCACTCATAAATCTGCATCCCCGAGGTTAATTCGGTGTGGCTTTGGCACAAAAGGCTCCAGAAGCTGAGGCCCTGCTCCTGGCCTGGCACCTGGAGCAGAGCAGAGCCAGGTGGGTGTTTGGGGACACAAAGGCAGTGACATTTCCCCCGTGTCTCTGCTCTCAGCCACCCCCTCAGTGGGGCCGGGTTCAGAGCCCATCCCCAGCTCTGTTCTGGGTCAGAACCTCACGCTGTGCATCATTCCCTGGCAGGGAGCACAGCCCACGGCCCACGGGAGGCAGAGGCAGCAGTTCAGCTCTTTCATGTCACGCAATCATCGCCGCTCTGTTCCACAGGATCCTCTCCTGCCGTGGATTTGATCCGGGCTGGGCTCTCCCCGCTCCCCAGAGCTCGTCACAGCTCGTTCTGTCAGCCCAGGGCTGGCCCTGCTCCCGTGTCCTCTGCAGGACCCACAGCACTGCTTTGCCGTCTTGCTGGGTTTTATTTTTTTTCCCCAGCAAACTCCAAGAATTATGCCAGATCAAAGTCGCTTTTGTTTTTGACGGGAGCAGTCCCAGGGGGAGGGAGGTGTTCAGATGTACATATTTGTTTAGACTGGCACTGACTGCCCATTTCTTCACACAGACGAGCTCCCAGCTCATAACCTGTCTTGTTCAATCAGATTTGCAGCTCCTGGGTTTCCCTCTGAAGCTTTGTACATTTTCCAGCTGGTGATTTGACAGAGCTCTCTGAACTCACACTCAGGAGCTGCTCAGAGATTCTCTGTGTTGCTGTTAGCACTTGCAGACGAGATTACATTTCTGGCTGATGTCAGTTTGGGCTTTTCTTGCTTTTTTCACGCGGCACGAATAAAAATATCAGCTTTGTGGCTGTACTGTTAAATAAATATTAATGATGTTGTTACAAAACATTTGATGCAGTGACAAGGGCTGAGGTTATGACCTGGTTTTCTCCCAGGTGATGTTTGCAGCCCTTTCAATCAGAAAGGTTTGGGGAGCAGCTGAATACAGAGAGGAAGCAGAAACAGCCATGAGGACACTTGAATTCTGCTGATTTATTTTTCCCCCTGTCTGCAGCATCGAAACTCCACCATATCAGCCATAGGAAGAAGGATCTGGCTGCTCTGTGCTGCTGTCCTGAGCTCAGGGGCAGAGGTTGCTGTGGCTCCCTGTCCCTGTTATTTGGATCAGCAGCACAGCAGGCTGTGCTCAGGAGCTGGTCACCCTTAAAATCCTTGAGAAATTCCCCTTCCCAAGGCTCCAGGTGAAGAGGTGAGGCAGCTCCTGTCCCCAGGATGAGCTGGGCTGTGGAGCAGGCTCAGGGCTGCCCTCCCAGCAGGGAATTCTCTGGAATGGGCTGTGTGGTGATGGAGGGGATGCCAAAGCAGCCTGTTCCTGCAGGGACACCTCTGCCACCGGCAGGAGCACAGCCCCCTGCCCTGGGGGTGACTCTGTGCCCTCTCAGCCAGCTCTGGGGGCTGCTTTACCCTGCTCTGTGCTGAGCTGAGCCCCATCCCCCTGCAGAGCCCATTTCCCTCGGTTCCCTGCACTTCTCTGCCTGTTCTGCTGCACCTCGTGCCCCTGCTCTGTGTCACCAGCTCCCCTGGCAGGCAGGGGCTGCTTAAAACCAGGAAAAAAAAAACAACCCAAAACTGATTTCAGGGAGGGCAAGAACAAACCTGTGCTGCTGCCTGCCCTCCCCGAGGCTGGCACATGGACTGGGGGGCTGCCCCTGGCAGGCTCATCAGGGCTGCACTTGATTGCATGCCAGGGAGGATGGCAGCAGGGAGGAGAGGATAAATGTGCTCTCATCAGCCCACTCCTTTCTCCCGGGCCCAGCATGGCAGCTTGCTGAGGCAGAATGTTTTCCTCGCCTTTAAAAGGGTTTTGCTTTGCTTCTTAAGTCTCTTTAAAGGCATTTCTAGGCCTGTTAATTATTCATGACGCCTTAATTATGTTTAGTCCACTGTGATCACTCTTTCTTTGGTGAAGAAAGTTGTTATTTGTGAGTCAAAAGCTCTTTATGAAGCAGACAGGCTGGTATCGTCAGAAAGACTTGGGGGAGCAGTTGGAATTATTAAAAGAAGCTTTGATTAAAGACAGGGAGTTAATTTAACAAGAGTAACTGGTTTTATCCATTTTTTTTCCCTGGGTGTGCAGAACAAAGCACACCCATGGATGTGTCAGGCCTCACCTGGAGCAGCAGGGCTCTCTCAGATGCCCCAGGAGATGGGCAGGTCGTTCCTTTTATCTCTTTTGGGTGCTGGGAATGGCTTTTGTCCACAGGCTTAGAAATAAAATTTGGCTGTAAGGGTGAACCTCAGAGTAGCTGCCTTTGATCCGGGCAGGCTGAGGCCAGACAGGCTGAAAACAGCCTGGTGTGTCCTGTTTGATCTGAAAATATCATTTATTCTGGTGTGTTTAGGAGGGGAGGGGGTACTGGATCTCCTCATTTTCCCTCAGTCACAGTGGCACTGAGGTGAATCATCCAGCAAGGAGAATTCAGCCTCATTTGAACTCAGCTGCTTTGGAAGTTCTGGTTCCTGCATAAACTGAGGGCTTCGGGGCAGGGATTATTCTGTGTTGGCTCAAAACTGAGCAGGCTTTTGGATCTGAAATGCCATTAAACTGAAATTTTCGTTTGTTAGTTCTTGGAGACAGACCTAACAGTGGGAAGGATTTTCTTTTTATTATTTTTTCTTCTTCTTTTATATCAAGAAAATAATCTTTATTTAAATAGTGCTGATTAAGCCTGGCTGAGGGTCCACCTGCAGAAACACCAAACCTGAGCGTGTAGCTTGGGAAAACAGTGCAGCATAAATTGAAATATTCCAGAATAAAATAATTAAGTCCTCCAGCATAAACTCAGCTGGGCACCTCTGCCTTCCACCCCCTCCTCCTCCCATCCTGCCCAGCCCACTTCTGTCTGTGAGAGGAGAGACATTTCAGACCATTTCCTTTCTGTCTTTCTGCATCTTCCCTTTCCCATGTCTGACTCTCGTGGCTGCAGGCAAGACAAACACCAGAATTCTCAAGGATGGACTGGGGTAAGGGAGGAAAAAGGAAAACAGTCTGAAAAGCAAGGCAGAAAAAAAAGCCAGATCTCACATGAAGGCAGATTTTCCTCTGTGTGTGTGAACTCTGCAGCAGAAGAGCGGCTCCCTGGAGCCTGAGCCCTCAGAGCCAGCTGTAAAACAGAACAAAACAATCAGATCGACATCAGGGTGGCTTGTGCAAGTCTCTATTTAATTACAGTGCTGCATGAAGACATTGGTTGGTGTCACATGTACCTGTGATGGGCATTTTATACATTCCTGACTCCCCGGGGAGTCGTGTTTGCACTGGAGATTTTCACCACAAGAGGTAGTGGCTTTATTTTTCCTGTTTTCCCTTTTTTTTTAGGTTTTTTTTTTAATTATTTTTTTTATTTCAGCAGGATTGGATAAGCTGGTTAGACCTACTGGAGTTAATTTTACTCTTCAGCCAGGAAGATAAACAGTTCTGTGGAGTGGGAGCAAGCAGGCAAGCAGCAAATACAGAGCAGGCAGAATTCACTGGCTTTTAATTCAAACCTTTTTGGGGGTGCAGAGAGCCCCACCCAGGGCTTCAGCAAGCTGGGAATCACAGGGAGGGAAAGCAGGAACAGGAAGACTCAATAAGCAGAACTAAAGCTTCGATTATAAATAATGAGTCACAAAAGAGGGGCTAGAGCAAGGCCCTGAAGTTCTCGAGGAACAAAGAAATGAAATCTTCTCGTTAAGGTGTTTTTAAAACCCAGCTCAGTTTTAAAACCCTTCCCAGCACGTCCTGCCAGCAGAAGTCTTTGGGGAAGCAGAGGTTTTTGTTTTCCAGAGCGGAAGGAACAGTGAGGTCTGGGTTTGCCAGGCTCAGACCTGCGGCGAGAGGCAGCTCCTGTGGGATGCAGCCGAATCTTGGGGGGCTCTCAGGGGATCCTGAGGGGTTCCTGCCAACAGGACCCACCCCACCACCTCTCCTTGTGCCAGCACACACCGGCCCTGCCCGTGGCATTGCTCAATTCCTTGGGGAGCCAGAGGTGAGGATGAGTTTTGGTGCTGTCTCCGGAAGGGGAAGGCTCAGCTCCGGGATTCAAAGTGCTTCATTTGTTGTCTGGAAGTGCAGGAGTTTGATGGGGAAGGAAAACCTGGGCAGAGATGGCCAGACCTGGCACTGCCACCTTCCCATGGCACTGGGGATATTCACATTCCCACAATTTAGCCTGGAGAGATGGGAAGGAGCAGCTTAAAATGTCCTGGGGATGAACGATGGGCTGCAGGTAATTCCTCACGGATATTGGAGCTCTGGGAATCACACCTGGGGATTTTTGGTCCACGTGAAGGACAGAGGCCTTTTCCAGCAGCTTTGTTTCCTCCATGCCATTTTGGAAGAGTTTTTCAGGAAGTGGTTCAGGTTGAGCTATGAGGCTCTGCTTCTGGATTCAAAAAAAAATTTGGGAGCAAGGTACACAGCATTGGAGATGAGGATTTTCCTTGGGTTGTCACTGGACACAAAGTAAAATTATGGCACAAAGTTAAGATATTATCCACATTATCCTGAGGGATATTATTATTCCACTTACCCTGAGGGTTCACACCAGTATAGGGCAAGCATCACCTATGGCAAACTTTAAAGCTTTTTGTCTATATATGTAATATTTGCTTTTTTTTGTTCAGCTCCCCACCTGGAAATTCCCCAAGTCAAACGGACCTTTCTGTTTATAAATACATTCAAAAATGGACCAGACATTTGCTGCTATTTTTCTGCCCAAAACCCTCCTGCCCTTGCATCATTCTGTGAATATTGGGGTAGGAGTCTGAGCTGATTCCCACCACTGAGTGAATTAGTTTGGTTAAAACTGTGGGGAAGAAAGAAGAGCTCGTGTGTGCCTGAGATCTCTGGAGCTGGCATTCCCAATTCTGCAGTTTTCAGCTATGAAGAGCCTTGTTACACAAGGCTGTGGGCTGAATATCAAAACCCCTGGATTCCAGCCCATTCCAGGAGTGCCAGCTTTAGAACAGAAACCTGTGGATTAAGGTGGGACTGCTGCTTCAATTTTAGCAAACAGCTGAGATTATGTGTTAGAGCTGCTTGGCGTAATCTCTTCCTGAATCAGAGCTGGAATCCTACCAGCACGGGAAAGAGCTCTGCTACAGGAAATCAGGGAGTTCAAGGAAACCTTGGCAGATCTTCACCTCATCTGAAGCAGAAACTGAGTGAATATTCCACAAACTGCATAGAGAAAAAAGGGATTCTATTGCTGTCCCAACTGTGTTTTTACTCCTTTTAGAAACCCTGGGAGTCTGCCCCTGCTTATGGCTATTGCAACCCTCTGCTGCTCCACAGCCTGCAGGAATTTCTAGCCAGACCTATTTCCACGTTGTTTTATTCACCTTGCTGTGTTTTATTTACAGAGATATTGCAAAACATCATGTGAAGTGAGTACAAGTAGCAAGTACAGCGTGGGTTTGGCAGTGCCAGATTCAGCGTGGTGAAACGATGCTCTTGTGGGGTTTCAATTCCTAGAATCCAAGGGAAAATAGCAGAGAGTAAGGGCTGCTGGAAACATCCAGACCTTTCCAGAGTCCAGCTTGGACACAGGAGCTGGTCCAGGTAGGGGCTTTCTTGGGATTTTATTCTGGCTTTTTCCAAAATGCACAGTTTTATCTCCTTGACTGTTGATTTAAGTTAGGCACAATGTTATTCTGCACTCTCTGGGGAGAGTCAGAGGCAAATCAGACCCGAGGCTCTCCTTGGGGCCCCTGATTTAGGTGAGAAGAGCCAGCCCTGGCCTGGCTGGCATGCTCAGGGTGCCTCCCCTGGCACAGTGTCCTCGTGTCTGTACATTCACCACGCTGCCACCCCTCCCCTGGCCTCACCCTGGGCAGAGCCTGGAGATGAGATGCTGGTGGGCAGAAATTGCTGATGGGAGATGAGGGGGTCCTGTTGGATGTACACCATGCAAAACAAGGTTCCATTCCTTGACTTTCTCTCTCCACCTCTTTTTTTTTTTTTTCTTTCCTATTTTTTTTTTGGCTTGGGCTCCAAAATCCATCCTATTTATTCCTATTTACACCGATGGTTTGGCGTGAGACTGATGCCCCCTTCTCCCTTCCACCCACAGCTTGTAGGCTCACACTGCTGCAGGGTCTGTGGGTGGCAGAACCTTCCCAACCCGCCTGGGGACCTCTGAAAGTTTTGGGGTTGGTTTTTATTTCATCTGTGAAGGCTCCAGCAGTGAACCCCCGGGTGAGTCAGCGCGAGGCGAAGGCAAAGCTATTGCACAGAGCTTCCACGGGCCCTGTCTGGCTCCTGCTGCCCAGGAAGGGTGGCCTTGTCTTTGGTGAGAGTTGTGCCCGTGACCCAGCGCTACCTCCTGGTGGCCCCGTGGCCACTCAGTGTCCAGCGCGCTCCAGGCCGGGTGGCCACGGGCGAGAACCCAGCGAGAGCGCCTCGATTCTCGCACTTCCACTTCCAACACGGTGTGAGGGCGGCTCTGAAAAGCGCCCTTGGGACTGGTCCAGAGGTCACCCAGCAGGGTGAGAGACCCTCCCACCTCGTTCCATCCCCACGAGGCGCTTGGGCACTGGGTGGTGCCCAACCCAAGAGCTCCAGCCCCCTCCCCGGCTGCCCCGCTGTGCATGGATGGCATCGCTTCCTCTTCCCCCTCCGTTCCTAAAAAAAATGCGGGTGCTGTTTGTGACTTTTAGCAGTGGAGGATCTTCATGAAAGCCTTGCGAAACTCGATGTTGAAGGTGGTGTAGATAATCGGGTTGACAGCGCTGTTGACATAGCCCAGCCACGTGAAGGCACTGTACATGGCCGGCGGGATGTTGCAGTCGCAGTGCATGTTCAGGATGTGAGTGATGAAGAAGGGGAGCCAGCAGATGATGAAAACACCTGGGGGGGAAAAAGGAGAGAGGAGGATTTTGATTGCTGAAAGCTGGGCGGATTCTCAGGCTGGGAGAGCAGTGAGGTTCTCTTTGGTAGAAGGGGAATATATCTGCCAGAGGAATGAGTTTTGTGTTTGTGTGCTCAGTGTCCTGCTCTGCCTGGGCCCAGACACTGCAGAAACTCTGCCCTGCAGAGGTGCCAGCTCTGCTCACTCTGCTCCCTTTTGTTCCAGAAAGCCCAGGAGCTCTTCCCCCGTTTTGGGAGCTCAGGTTCCCCCGAGAGGGGCAGCTTTGGGCACCTTGGGTGCAGCCCTGCCAGCTGTGGGTGGCTGGGGATGGAGGGACCCCTCCCACCGCCTGTCCTCTCATGTGTGAAGGGAAATGGATCCTGAGGGGCCTTGGAACACCAGCCTGCACTGAACTCAGGGACTGGGATTTCTGCAGGGCCCCCGGGGCAGCCAGGGCACGCTCTCACCGAGCACGATGGCCAGCATCTGGGTGGCTTTCTTCTCCTTCTGCTGGGACATTTTCCTCCTGATCACGGCCTTGAGCAAGTTCCTCGTCTTGCCGTTGGGCAGGGAGTGGATCTCGAAGACCCTGGCTGTGTGGTGGGATTCTTTGGCATGGCCATTCTTCTCCACCTTCCCGGGGCTGCTCAGGGGTGCCTGCAGGGTAGAGTTGTTGCCCCGATTAGAAGCAACTGGCACAATCAACTGGTGGTTACTTGGTGCTGTGGGTTTGAGGGCCGTTTTCTCAGGGGGACTGGTACTGGACACCATCTCCATTTCCATCTCTTCTATGTGACTCTCTGCCTCCTGGACAAGAATCAAATGTCCACAACATAATGACAGGTAAATACACAGAGAGGAGCAACGAACATTCCTTACAGAGTGAAGCTGGATGATGTTGGAGAACAGTCAATCCCTCTTCTCCCTCCCTGCGTGCTGCCTGGAGAAAGGGCTGTGGTGCTTTTGGGTGTTTTGGGCAGATGGGATTGACAGAGCTGCACTGGAGGATTCTCCTTTTTGGCACAAAGAAGCTCAGAAATGGGGGAGACGCTGTCTCCACTCTCCACAGACTTTATTCAGGTTTTCAGAAGGTGAATAAATAAAAATGGATCAACAACCAAAACCCAACAAAGCCAATGCAGTCCGAGATTTAAATAACAGAGAGGAGGAGGAAATCAAAGATGTTGAACAAAAATGTTCAAATGCCGTGGCTTTTAGAGCTGATCTTTAGGTGAGCTTAATCTGGCTTTTTTTGAGCTCTGTGAGCTTAAACCCCCTGCTTCACTCCAAGGAATGGGAAGACTATTTAAATTTTGAGATTGAATGGTAACCTTTGCTCTTGGGTTTATTTTTCTCCCACCCTACATAAATTAACCTCGTGTCCTGAGGGAGAAGGGGAAGGCTGAAGGCTCTGGAAAGCTCCCACTTCTCTTTAACACTCACCACTTTGCGCTTATTAACTTGGAAGCTCCCATTGGACTTCACAATAACTGTGCAGAGCTTGACGTCTTCTGGATGAGTGCATTTGTCCTAAGGGGCAAGCACCAGCTCAGAGGTTACACAGGCAGAGAGGGGTTGGGAAGGGAAGCTGGTAAGGGAGGCACGTGGGAATACAAAGGAATTAATCAGGAATTGGTCAGCGCGGCTGAGGTGCCGAGCAGGATGGAAAACTGGATGGAAAACTGATGTGGAGGAGCAGTGGTGGGGGCTCCCCCTGTGCTGTCCACCAGAGGAAGGAGGCCACGAAGCTCTGCTGCTGTCTGTGTGTCCCTGTCTCGCTGCCCCCTTTGCAGGCAGTTTGGAGCTGGAGACTGCACATCCCCCTGGCTGTGCTGCGTGAGCCAGAGCCGTGTTTAGACCAGTGGTTTCACACCCAGCCCGCCCAGCTGGGCTCCCTCACAAGCAGGAGAGGCTGATCCCTGCAGAGCTGTCCTTCCCAGGGAGGAGCTGTGCACCACTGGCATTGCCACTGAGCTTTGGGGACGCCTTACAGCACCTGCAGGGGGGTTGCAGGAGAGCTGGAGAGGGGCTTGCAGTGGTGGGAATGGCTTTAAGCTGAAGGAGGGTGGGTTTAGATCAGATATTGGAGAGAAATTCTTCCCTCTGAGGGTGGGGAGGCCCTGGCACCGGTCACCCAGAGCAGCTGTGGCTGCTCCATCCCTGGAAGCGTCCAAGGTCAGGTTGGATGGGGCTCGGAGCCAGGTGGGATGGTGGAAGCTGTCCCTGCTCAGGGGCTTTAATGTCCCTTCTGCCCCAAACCGTTCCTTGGTTCTGTGGTTCTGCAGGACTGACTCAGACTGTGCCACAGCCTCTGGGTGGCCCAGCCCAGCCCAGGGCAGTGCTCTGGGTTCACACAGCAGCTCCTGCTGCACATCTGCTGCCGGAACAGCCCCTGAGATCCAGGGAGGCCTGAGGAGCACCAGCCAGCGAGCTGGCAACCCAGGACCCCAAAGAGACCCCAGCACCCAGCTGTGGGTGCTCTGGGGCAGGAGGAGCAGGGCAGGGGGAGGATGGAGAGCGCTGGGTACCTTCAGGGGTGCCTGCGTGTCCGAGTCCAGCACGTGGCTGCTGCGCTTGGTGCTGACACGCTTCCTGCGCCGCCGCAGCACGATGTAGATCTGCACGTACACCAGCAGCGTGACGATGAAGGGCACGTAGAAGGACACGATGGAGGAGTACACCACGAAGGCAGGGTTGCCAATGATGCACTCCTTCTCATCTGGAAGAGAAAACCTTTCAGGATTGTTGTCCCCCACGCCCTGTCCCCGCACGGTCCCCTCGAGCTGTAGCATCACCCCAAAATTCCTGGCTACTCCTTGCCTCGAGGCTGAGGATTGTTGATCCCCTCTGTACCACCCCCAGTGTTCCCAGGAAACTGCTGCCTGAACTGCCAGTCCTTTTCTCTCCTGCCTCAGGGAAGGTTTTGTCCCCCGGCTTTCCCTTTTGTATGTTTTAATAGAAGAAGGATTTGGAATTTGTAGTGGACAAATGTTAAGGTAACACAGATTGGTGCTGCGTGAACTTCTCCATCACCTCAGTTCTGGTGAGTCTGAAACCCTGCTCTGGAGCAGCTGGAGGCGAAACAGACCCAGAATCACGGTGCAAATAGGGAGACAAGAGTTCAAACACACCTCAGGAGCCAGCTGCGGGTGGCAGAGCCCTCACCTGTGTTGTTGAGGCCGAAGAGGAGCGGGCAGGAGATGGCAAAGGAGAGCACCCAGACCACGGCGATCATGACGGTGACCCTGCGCTTGGAGCTGTAGCGGGTGTTGTAGAGCATGGGCATGGCCACAGCCGTGTACCTGCGGGGACACACAGCCTGCTGTCACCCCCAGGGCCACCACAGCTCCCAGCTCGGCACATTCCATGTGCCCTCTGATAGATAGATATATCTCTATAATCTATATATTGCATAACAATATCTATTTATCGTATAAATACAATATCATATTATTGACTATTTAATTATTTTTTTATATTTTATGTTTTTATAGTACTAAAATGTATGTTGGATGTATAATGCTAGAAAGCTTTGCTGTATTAATATAGTTACTTTTATTTATGTTATTGATATAACTTAGAAATAGTGGTGTAATACATATATACACATATATTTTAAGCTGTAGCATGGTGTTAAAATAAAGACTTCTTTTGTTCATATAACCCAAAGACTGAAAAGATAGTCAGAAACACCCCCTGCATTCCTAAATTATCCAGATGAAGACAGCAGTGACCAGAGCTCCAAGGGAGGGATTTATTTAACCTCTGTTATCAGGGAGTGTGAGACTGAACAGAGCCAAGATTGATCTGTTGGGGAGGGGGGAGTTGAAGTTAAACAAAGGAACATCTAAAACTTAAGAGGAATGTTTGAATCATGCATAAGCATTTATGAATATGTAATAGATTTGTGTTTTTAAGGGACAAGCCTTTGTTAGTAAATTTCTGTCTCCTGATTATCTTTCCATTAAACTTTTAAAATCTTACATAAAAAAACGTGAACCTCGTTTTTCACAAGCCCCGAGGTGGCTGCAGGCACAGCAGGAGGGGTGAGGCTGGGCTCAGCATGGCCTTCTCCTTCCAGCCCTTCCCAGTGCTGCCTGCTGCACCATCCCAGAACACAAACAGCAGGAGCAGGCTCGTGGGAACACAGAGACCATTCCATCTGCATTCCCAGCGGTGTTTCTGTGCCTCCTGACAGAATTCCCTGCTCACAGCTCATCCAGGTCCTTTAAGCTGCTCTTCAAAGAGCTCCCACAGTTTTCAAGCCTCTGAGTCCCAGGGAAATGTGAGCAGACCTGGGCTTGGCCCCGAGCCCTCACCTGTCGATGCTGATGGCACAGAGGTTGAGGATGCTGGCAGTGCACATCATGACGTCCAGGGTGACAAGAGCAATTCCCTGGGGTGCTGAGCGATTCCTTGGGGTGCTGAGCAATCCCCTGGGGTGCTGAGTGATTCCTTGGGGTGCTGAGTGATTCCTTGGGGTGCTGAGCAATCCCCTGGGGTGCTGAGTGATTCCCTGGGGTGCTGAGAAATTCCTTGGGATGCTGAGCAATCCCCTGGGGTGCTGAGAAATTCCTTGGGATGCTGAGCAATTCCTCAGTCTCACATCCCGTGACATCAGGGAGCACAGGGCTCCTCCAACCCAGAGGGGAAAGTAAAGGAGTTTAAACAGCTCTCTGGAGCATTACAAGGCAGAATGAGGAAGGAAATAAATTAATTTTAATTCTCAAACACCTCAAATTGTACTTACAGCTTTTTTTTTCCCAGACAGTTTTTCTAATTGCACCCAGCAAAGGTCAGCAGCAGACAAGCAGGAGCTTCTCTCTATTCCTCAGTTTAAAAAATTGGGATAGGCATTCCTCACCCTTATCTTTTTTTTTTTTTTGGTGAACAAAACGAGTTTAATTCAGAGTGAAAAGCCCTTAACACTCCACACGATGTGCTAAAGACAAAGAACTAATGATAACACTTCCAGGCACCAGTAGCCTTTTTTCTCCTCACTTCTCTTGCTGTTGAAGCTGAACTTTGCCAATTAAGTTTAATCGCAATTATTCGGACTGCTGTGTTTGACATGTGATGAAAAAAAAAGTATATTTCCCTCTAACAAAAATAGAGCCCTACTGCATTTGAAAATAGAATGAATAAGATATCTATTCTTCAGTTATTTCTGCTCTGATATACATAACCATAGGCAGCATAAAGAAGGAAGAATGACTGCATTGAAGCCTGAGTGACAGATGAATACTCAGTGATTAAAAAAGCACTTAAGAGACAGTTACATCAGGAACTTTGAGGAAAATTTGCCCAAAGGCAAAGGTTTCCAGCCAGATCCAAACCTCAGTAAAACTAATTTCCTGAGGGCATGCTTTGGGAGAAACCAGGAACCGCAGCAGTTCTTTCTCTTGGTGCTTTCATTTATGTTGGAGAAATCTCCAAAACTGGGGGTAAAAGATCTGTTTGCACCAAGGCTGGGGGTGTTTTTTTAAGTGCTTCATTTTGATTTTGAGTTTTAGGCCAAGCGTGTGGCACAAAACCTGGAGAAAATCATCCCAGCAGACAGATCAAGGCAGTTGTGGCTCCTCACCAACCCCTGAGCGTGAGCCCAGAAAAGGGAGAGAATTTTGCATCATTTGTGGTTTATTCTTCTGCCTCAACATTAAAAAGGGTCTGAGGGATTCTTCTGGCTGGACCTGAGGGAGCAGGAGCTTCTCCCAGCATCAGCCTCTGCCTGAAATGGGTGATGGGAAGAGAAGAGAAGAGAAGAGAAGAGAAGAGAAGAGAAGAGAAGAGAAGAGAAGAGAAGAGAAGAGAAGAGAAGAGAAGAGAAGAGAAGAGAAGAGGACAGAGGAGAGGCACTGCTCTCCCCCCAGCCTGTGACCGTGTTAATGAGCCTCAGCAAAGGCGTGGGGCTGAACCTTCTCCAGCGCCATGAAAACAATCATTAACTCGAGTGATAATTAGCGTTGTGTCACGTCAGTGCATTTGTTTTGCTTGGCATCAGGATTTAATGGGCTCACTGACGATGGCTCCTTCCCCTGCTCTCCCCTCTCTGTTGTCATTCCCTCCCTAAATCAGGGCCTGGAAATGAACTGGAAATTCAGGATGGTTTTGTGCTCAAGGCTGAGGTGTGAAAAATGACTTTCTCCCCTATATTGTGACATAAAAGCTGTGGATTCCACATCCTGCTTCAGAAACAAAGCCTTGATTGCTATCTTTTTTCCTTTGATTGCTGGATTTAATGATCCTTGTGGGTCCCTTCCGCTCCACAAATTGGATGTGGTTTCAGTGTGATACCCATGGTGGAGTTTTGAACACAAAATTGGGGTCCTTTCCCTCTTGACCCCGAATTTCTGGTGCAATTGGGCTGCCATTTAGTCCTCTGAGCAGCAGTGGGGTTTCAAGCTACCTGCTCTCACATCCATCTCCTGGAAAAAAATGGCAATTTCGGGAATGAAAAAGCTACAATTTCAGGAAGGGGGAAAAAAAAATAAAGCAATTTCAGGAATGAAAAAAACCTGCATTTCAGGGAAGACAAAACCCCCTGCATTTAGGGCATGAGAAACACTTCAGGGGGAATTGAGGAGCTGATTTCCAGGGGAGCTGTGAGCCCTTACCTCCAGGTAAACCACCCAGGGCATGCAGAGCGTGGCCACCAGCAGGTCAGCCACGGCCAGGCTGACGATCAGGTAGTTGGTGGTGGTCTGCAGGGCTCTCTCCCTGGACACTGCCATGCACACCAGGACGTTGCCAAAGACGATGATGAAGATGAGGATGGCGAGCAGCACGGCGTAGTAGTTGTAGTGCGGCTTCTGCGCCGCGTCCGACGCGTTCAGGGCCCTGCTCCAGTTCCTGTCCCCGTCGTACCACGAGAGGTTGAGGGGATCCATGGGGGTCTGAGTGCCAGCTGCCAGCTCCACCCTGGCTCGGGGGTGTTGGAGAGGCCCGTGGGAAATAAAAATGGAAAATGAAGTCAGGTTTCTGCTGCCTGGAGCCCTGTTCTCCCTGCCCTAGGTGAAATGTTTGGCTGGGAATGGGATGCAGAACTGAGCCAGGTGGGGGTTCCAGGAGTTGGTTTTTATTTCCAGCTCACCCCCAGATTCCTGTGTAGTTAGTCTGTGTTACAGGTGGGGTCAGGCCTGGGATGTTCTGTCCCCTGACTTTCCCAGCTCCCTGTTAGGTGTGCACAGCTCAGGGCACAAGGGCCATCACCCACTTTGTTTATTTGCCATGTGCTTCACGGGGCTTTGGGCTCTATTCCTTTTTTTTTTTTTCCTTTTGTCTTTCCTTTATTTTTATTTTCTTTTCCTCCAGCAGCAGAATAAATAAATTTTAAAGCCCAAGACCTGAACAGTGACAATGATGGAACTTGACAGCAGCAGCTTTGCAGTCAGGGCTGGGCTGTGCTGCCTCTGCCATTGCCCCAGCGAGGTGACAGTGAAGGGGGACACGGTGGGGACAGCACTGCTGTCACCCCAGCCCTCAGCAGCTCCTGCCACTGGGAACATGCTTTTCCTGGTTTTCCTTGGAAAATCGTGACACCCCCACCATTCCCTGGCCGATGGCCACATGCTGTGCGCTCCTGAAGAGGTAAAATATGAAAAATGATGGGATTTCTGTGGAGTTCCCTCAAACCTATGGAAGCTTTGGTGTTTGTTTTACCCACTGTGAGTGCCTTTTGGACTTTTCCTGTCTCTCTCTGCTGTCACAACATCCTAAAGGAATTTGGCTGCTGGGACAGAGGTTTGTGTGTCATCAGCTTGAAATTCAGAGAACAAAATCTCCTCTGTGCTGAGGGAGGTGAACAGCCAAAGCTAGAGGAGGATGTGGAGCGTGGAGGGGAGCTCTGGGTGCTGCTGTTTTGGGGTCTCTCTCTGGTTCAGGGTATGAAAAGCAAACCCTGTGTTTGCAGTGAGGCCTGCAGGATCTTTGGCCACCAGGGATGTTTTTCCTGGCTGTGTGGGGAGGAAAGCTCAGCTCCTGCTCTGGCTGCAGGGCTGTAACCATGGACAGCCCCACACCACACCTGAGTCATGCCTAGAGAAGGGATTTCCACCCAGCAGAAGCAATCTGAGAATCCCCTCAGTTTATAAATCATCCCTCACCTCTCCAGAGTGGTGCAGGTTGGGCTGGAAATGCCTACACCCGACTGGGAGCTCCTCAGCCTTGCATAAAAGGCCTCGAGGGGGGGTTTATGTTGGTTTTTAGGGGAAAACAAACCCATGGAAAGGGTTGGAAAGAGTTGGAACAGGCTGCCCAGGGCAGTGGTGGTGTCACCATCTCTGGAAGTGCTCAAAAGCCTGTGGATGTGGACCTGGGGCTGGGCTTTTCCCACCTAAACAATTCCATGTTTCTATGGCCTCATTCCCTGCTCAGCACTTCCCAGGATCAAATATTCCATGTTTCCCAAGCTGCATCTCCACAAAAACCACAGTGACTGGAAAACCTGGCCGTGCTCTCAGACACCCCAAACCAGGACCACTTAATTTCCTTAATAAAAGACAAAGTGACTTCGATTTATTAAACCCTGTAAGTGATCAAAATAGCAAAACATTTGCAAATATCAAATTCACCTGGGAACAATGGTTTCTTTATGTTTCACTGAGCTTTTGTGTGCTTTTCTCATTCAGAGAACAATTTGGATAATAATCCTTGGAAATTTGTTGCATATGGGTCCTTAATAGCTGATAATTCAAAAAGTGTCTGTCTGACAGTGCTATCAGCAGCACTTGATAGCTCTACAAATGTCTTCTTAGGAGCTGTCAAAGTGTCAGAAATTAATTAAATGTTAGCTTCTGTGACTCAGAGTGAAGGGGAAAAAATCAATGCTAAATACAGCAACAGTTTTTTCTCTTCTCCTGTTGCCCTTTCATAATGCAAAACTATCTCGAGGAGGCAGAACCATGCAGAAAATGCAGGGTGGGACACCAAAAAAAGAAAAAATAAAAAAAAGGCAGGGAGATGGAGAAGTGGCTTTGAGGTGTAAAAGGGATGGAAGGGTTTGGGATGGGCAGGATCAGCCCCTTGGGCCTGTGCTGGTTTTTTTTCTGAGCTCTGACTGCAGGAATAAAATTGGTTTTAAGAAGGAAAGGCCACAGACAGGGAGATGGGCTCAGCAATTCCAGCCTTTTCAGGGCTGTTCCAGCTCCCTGGTGGAGTTGGAGGAGCCATTTATAGCTCATTTCTTGTGTCCATTCATCAGGAATTTACTCCACGGTGGTTAGGGAGGGTGTAAAACTCCCTGGATAAAGTAATCAAAATTTCCTTTCATTTCCTTCTCTATCTTCCTCAAGAGTTGCTTTTTTTTTCCCCCCCTTTAAATGGAACTATTTTCACAGTAATCATTTTTGTCTTTAAAAAGGAAGTTAAAAGTGAATGTTTGAATGTTGTACAAACGAAAAGATTTGGTGTTTCTATTTAAAGAAAAAAAAAATATTTAATTTGTGAAAATGAAACAGAAGAAAAATTCCAAATATTTTAGATGAAACAGGGAAACTTAAACACCAAAACCTAGAAATTAAAACTGTGTGATCACCCAATTAAAGGCTGTATCCAGGACACATCCTACAATTACACAGACAACTCTGTTGGTTCCCAACTTTGCAAAGTTTGAGTTTTCAATCCTAAAAACAACCTTCATTTCTCCAGCCCCAGAGCTGGCATCATTTGGAAGCATTTTTGGTGGCCATTAAGGTGTTTTGTGAGTCTCTCAGCCCTGCTTTGAGGAGCAATTTCGATTTTAGTGCTGACAGTTCCTCAGCAGAGAAGAAAGAAGCACTTAAAGAGGCAGCTGGAAAAGGGAGGGCTTTTCTCCAGGCTTTTCCCAGAGAGATGCATTTTCCTGGGGAAAAGGGAGAGGGAAGGGATCAAAAACGCAGGGAAAAGGCACAAATAGCACCTGGCTCTGGCCTTGGGAAAATTCGTGTACAGAGGGGAAAGTCTGAGGGAGAAAGAGTCCAAAAAGAAGCAAATTCCCTTGTGAATTAAGGGCAGCAAAGCCACCCTAATTCCCACCCAGAGTCCCCACAGATTCCCAGGGTGGCTGAGCTAATCCAGATCTGGATTTGCTGCAGGGTCAAGGGCAGGACAGGGCTGCAAGGTTGCAGCCTGGAGTTTGATGGCAGCAGTGCAGCAGCATCATCCTGCTGCTCATCCCCCTCTCATCCCCCTCAAAACCTGGCTGGAAGCAATTTTCCAGCAGCTGCAGGGTGTTACATACAAGTAATACCTTACTCAAAATAAAAACCAACCTTATAAAATAGAGTTTAAACCCTGCTGCTCTAGCTAAGCTAGCAGCAAGCTTGTATGTAAAAGAATCGTGAAAATAAAAATCAGTTAACACAACAATCTGTTCTAGAAGGAAAACCATTCACACCTGGGAAAACAAAAAGTCTCTCCCATAAGAATCCCCCCTCAAAAAAAATGTAAACACCTAAGTAAAGTCTTAACACACACAAACATTTTCTAACCAATGAATTAAGTAGCAAAAAAAACTATTGGCCAATTGGATTTAACACAACACCTTCTGAAATTCCTATAAAAATATAAGCTATACAATAAAGATTCAGCTTTTCTGCTTAAAAAAATCGGGAGTGCCATCTGTTTGTATCACAACAGGAGGGAATCTGCTGGAATGCTGGAATTCCCAGGGAGAAGGCAGCCAGGACAGAGTTTGGAGGGCAGGGCCAGAGCTTTGCCCTCCTCTGCTGTCAGTCCTTGCTCTTTTCCAGAGAACAACCTGGAAAATGTTTGTTTGCCGTGCCAGGATTTCTCCTGCTCCTCGTGATGGATCTTGTAATTACCACTGTGGCAAAGAAGAGATCTCCCTGGCAAGTGTGGGATGTTCACAACCCAGCCAAACCCTCTGGCAGGATCTGAAACCTTTTTCCTCTCAGAAACAGCAAAGGTGTGACTCTCCTTTTGGTTTTTCCTCTGTTTGCAAACACTCCCAGGGATAAAGCCCTGGTGGGGCTGATGCTGAGGAGTATCAGCACCTGCCTGCTGCGGATCTGGGGCCAAAACTTCAGCCAGCCTTTGCTTCTGCATGGAACCCCCATCATTTCAGATGACATCTGGAGTTCAGGGTGAGCTTTCAGGGCCCAAGCTTTCCTCTGGACTCCAGACATGATTTTGCACCCAAAATCTTGCACCCAACAGGGAAACAGCAGCCAAAGCCGCCGGTGGCAGCATCCCCGAGGGAGATGTCCCAGAGCAGCCTCAGAACAGCCTCTCCCTGCTGGCCCCGAGGGATTTTGGCTGAAGATGTTGCCAGATTGATATTTCCTGCTAATTGCTGCTGCCCAGAGGTTCCCATCAGCATCTGAGGCTGCTCAGACAGGTCCTCTCCAAAGGCTTTGCAATCAATGTCTCAGGGGAATTTGCACAGAACACCGCCTCCCTGAACATTGTCACTCTCCTCTGGAGTTTTGCAATCCATGGGCCATAGGAAGCTGTCAAACTGACATCCTTTCTGTCCTCCAGATGTTTGCTGGGCTCCACTGAGAATGCCACAAACACATTCCACTGAAAGGAAATAACACCATGTCTTTGGAGTAGAGGGGAGGTGGAAGAGAAAGGGAAGGGAGAAATGTGTTTGAGGAGCTGCTCTGTTTCCCTGCTCAGGGTGGAGAAAAAGCATCTTCTGGAGTAGTTTCACTATTTTTGTTTGTTTTTAGCCTTGCACACAAGCCCAGAATTGCTGTGGATTCCTGGTGGTGGCTCCCTGGAGAGCAAGGAAGGTGTGGAACTGCAGGCACTGAGGAGAAAAGGCCAGGAATGAGGAAAATTCTGAAAATCCTGCCTTGACCTGAGAGCGCTGCTGATGCTGCTGAAAAACCCCATCCCCTGCCCTGGGCTCCTGCAGGAGCAGCTGGCACAGAAATCACCCAGCATCGTCCTGGTGGCTTTAAATAAACGCGACTCCCCCAGGCACCGAGTCCTTGGTGCAGATGCAGGGGAGGTGACAGGGGAGGTGACAGGGGAGGTGACAGCCGTGACAGAGGGCCTGGCAGTAATTACACCTGAGCTCTCTGAGCAGGGGCTGGGGGAGGCACAGCTCTGCTTTCCACGCTCCTCTCTGGTCCCCAGGAGCCGGCAGGTTGCACGAGCAGCTTTGGACACCTCTGCACCCACAGAATTAGAGACAAAAATCCTGGCCAGGCCGTGGATTTTAGGGGGCTGAATTCTAATTTCAGCACTGCAAACCTCATATCTACCAAACCTACAGCTCTGCCATCAGCTCCTTCCAAAAACCTCTTGAGAATCTTCCTGCTCTGCCTTTCTCCCAGCTCCCCATCCCCAGATCCTTTGCTATCCAAGATATCAAAGTTGCATTAATTGCAGCTATTGCTCACTTCTGATTCAGAAACACTCCTGGTTTTGCATAATATCTAATTGGATGCTCTAGCTAGAAAGTGCTCACACGTGCCCCCCGAGCAGCTGATCCCAGTTTTTGCTGCTGTTCAGCAGGGCTCTGTGGATGACAACTCCTGCTGCCACCGCGGCCTCTGACTCACCCACCCGAGCTGTTCTTGCTGATGCCACGATATTTTCTGTTCCCAGCACTTCCCTGCCTGACAATCGCATTGCTC